CAAATCTTCATCATGCTTTTGTAAACTTTTACTTAGTGAAAAATCTATTTACTACAAGTTAAAGTGCTCATGGTTACTCTGGCCCTAGTAGAAATGGCTTTGGTTAATTTAAAATTAATTATTTCATTTATAATAATTATTTCTAAGCATAGTTCTAATTTCTTACTAGCTATGAGGTAAGAAGTATAGAAGCAGACTATATCGTAAAGTTTGAGTTTCAGTTCTCCCATGTTATAACTGTGTTAACTTGGAGAAGAAACTATCCTCTCTAAACCTCCATCTCCTTACCTGGAAACGAGAATAACACCACACGTTAATTCATAAGGTGATAAGAGAATCAAGTAAAAAGTAATTTAGGGTCAGACATGTGCATGGGAAAATGCACATCAACTGGGCCATAACGACCCCTCTCTACACTGGAAGAGAGGTCCCATATGACCAACCATCGTCTAAATCTGGGCCCCCTGTGCATGCAAGTCCCAGATCCTGATGAGACCCAGAAATGGAGGAAAAAGGATTCTGGTGTGCCCATGCCTCACTGGGGAGTGCTTTCTCTTTCTCTCTCACTCGCTCTCTTTTGTTTTATTTCCCAGTGAATATTCTCCTTGGAAATTAAAAAAAAGATAAAAACAATAATTTAGCAGTGATTAACAAATGGTAAGTGCTAAATAAATATCAGCTACTGTTAAGAGATATTGTCACATAAAATAATTTCAGATAATGCTAAGTAAGCAAGGGATGTGGGCTATAAAATAAAGCATTACATAATACCTAAAAAAAGAAAAAAAAAACATTTACATAAAGCATTTGCACTGTTCTAATCCACAGTCCTTTCATTAAGAAAAATGGCTGGGACTAGCAGATAGCATAATGGTTATATTGCTGGACTCCCACATAGTAGACCATGGTTTGAGTCCTAGATCCAGTGGATTAATACTCACTCCGGGCTCATGTGGATGCATGCCCAAAATTGCAAAAGGGGAATGGAGGAGATTGTGGCATGGCTAGCCTCCTGAGGGGTGATTTCTCACTTTCTGTCCCTCTGGCAAGCACACATGCCTTATAGCAAAAATCTCTTAAAAAAAAAAAAAAAAAGAAAAGCAAGAAAGCAAGAAAGAAAGAAAGAAAGAAAGAAAGAAGACCTACTCTTATTCCCCATCAAGCCTAGCATGCTGACACTTAGAGACTCAGCATTCAGGATAAATGACCATGCACAATGAAAAAGATACACATGCCATTGCTAAGATGCCCCAGAGTTCTAATGTCAGATACTTAGCTAAAAAGATATTTTAAATTAAACATGCATTAAATTAACATAAATCCTAGTAATTGGTGATGGGAAACTGGCATTTACCAAAGCCAAGTCTTCCAAAAACTTCTTGACTTCTGCCCATCATCTACCCCTCCCCCCGCCGTGTGCTTTTACTGTGGAGAAAAGAAAGCTATGAGCACTGCAGGCTCCTGCCATCAGCAGACTCTAGATTTTATTTAATACACATACGGAATAGAAACCTCAAGGGGAAATAGAGGCAGTGAAAATGTGTCTATAGAGGTATGACTAGGAACAGACAGCTACTCACACTAGTTTTTGTACAGCCCCCCCCCCCCAAATCTAAGAGAGTTCACCCTCAAAGATGACATCACATAAACCATCCACTCTTAATTATATTCTGCTCGATTTCTGATGACTGACTTGTATGTATCTCCAATTAAGTAACTATTTTTCTTCTGAATAGAAAGTACTGGGTTGTCTGGAAAGTCATGTTGCATTTTTTTTGCATAGAAAAACAGAAAAATACATCATAATTTTTCCAACAACCTAATAATATATGCTCATTATAAACGATTTGCAAAACAGAAAGGATGAGGTAAGTGTTAAATGTGATATGCTTATCTTACCATTCAATGGTAATTTTATTTTGATTCATGTTTATGTCAATTTTCTATGCTCATATACCTATACGCATGGATACAAACATTTTAACATAATTGAGATCACATTCTATACACAGTATTTCACTTCTTGTCAAAACCTATGCTTGCTGGTCTAGGTGCAGTAGCACTAGTGGCAGGGCTGTGTGAGGCTGGGGCCAATGGGAGGCTTGGGTTCAGATGCTGGACCAACAGAGGTAGGCCAGGCAGGAGGTTATACACCTGTGGTCTTGGCTAACATAGCTAAGAAGAGGCGTTCCCATGATCCAGGACTGCAAGGGCCTGGAGTACACTGTAATGGGAAGACCCTGCTGGGAAAGCCTGTTTTTCTGTCTCTCTCTCATGGAAGAAAACAACAAACAAACAAACAAACAAAATGAACAACAAAAAAAACTGCAACAGATTAATAACCCATAACTACTAGTGAGTCTATTTCTGAAGAAGAGAAAATTCTTTGATATTTTGTCTAATAAGCAAAAAACTACTTAACATACCATTTCTTTACATAAGTGCAATCATAGATACTCTTTCTTATCAATCCTATCCCAAATATTAGCAAAATCAAAGATAAAAATTATGATTAATTGTATGTGACTTAAAAAGGAAACACCTCTTAATTCCTCAGAATAAGATACAGTTTGAAAAGGAAAAAACAGACTGAGAAAGAGGGTCTTAGTTACTGTCTTAGCACTCTGCTACTAATCTCTTCACTTGAAAAAAGTCAGACACCACCTGAGCCAAATGACCAACAGTAATGAGATGTATCATGAACACACGAATGTGACACACTGAGCAGGACACAAGATGACTACTGTGGTGCTGCTGCCAAAAATGCATTACCTTATTCGACTGTACAAAGAAAAATCAGCCAAGCCCAGATTGAGAACATTCATATGATAACTGATAACTAGTCTTCAAAACTGTCAAAATCATAAAAAAAAGATTGCTTCCAAACTAAGTAGCTTGAAGAAGACCAAGTAAATAATTGCATTTAATGTGTAAAGCTGGGTAGGATCCTAGAACAAAGATAGTAGAAAAACCGGCAGTACGCAGACAAGGTCTGTATTTCAGTTAATAGAGTTAACTTCCTGGTTTTATAAATTTTACTATGGTTATATAAGAACTTAACATAAGGTGAAGCCAGGTAAGTTGTACACAGGAACTCTAGTACTATTTTTGCAACTTTTCTATAAGTCTAAACTTGTTTTTAAAAAAAATTAAGGGACCAGTAGTTAGCGTAATGGCTATGTCACTGGACTCCCATGTAGCCGACCACGGCTAGAGTCCCGGACCCAGTGGCTTAAACTCACTCCGGGCGCGTGTGCATGCGTGCCCAAGATCCCTAGAGGAGAATGGAGAAAGGATTGTGGCATGGCCATCCCCGCTGGGGGTGATTTCTCACTTTCTGTCTCTCTGTCTCTGTCTTTCTGGCAAGTGCACGCGCCCTATAGCAAAAACCTCTCAAAAAAAAAAAAAAATTAAGAGAAACCACATTAAGACGTCAAATTAAAATAAATGGTGTTGGGACCAGCAGTTGGCGTAATGGCTCTGTCGCTGGACTCCCATGCAGTCAACTACAGTTCAAGTCCCGGACCCGGGGGCCTTAAACTTACGCTGGGTGCATGTGCCTGCGTGCCCAAGATCCCGAGAGGAGAATGGAGGAGGAGGGATTGTGGCATGGCCATTCCCCCCCAGGGAGTGATTTCTCGCTTTCTGTCTCTCCCTGTCTTTTTGGCGAGTGCATACATCCTATAGCAAAAACTTGTACAAAAAAGAAAAATAAATAAGTGATGTTGGTGCACAATTCTGCTTTGAAGACAAGAATAGTAGGGGAAACAGTGTTTCTTCTGTTTGCTCCATGACTACACCTACTCCTCTGCACACTCCCTGTACCGAGCCACCCTGAGATGGGCGAGGAGAGGCAATGAGGGAGAGTATGATACACAGTCACTGGGAGAGAGAAGCACATACTTTAACAGCTTCTGAAGGTCTGTCCCTGACATCAGGGAAGAAAACTCACATACTATTCAAGGATCCCATAAAGGTAATTCTCAAGTAAAGAAAGGAATAGAGGTAGGGGACAAGGGATTGAGGAGGGAGAGGAATAAAATAATATTCATTCGCCAAGAAGAAGGCTTACAAAGTTTTTCTTTATGTGAAGGACAAATAAGAGTTCTCATTTGGGAAAACAGCTGGAATCTAAAACTTTATTAATACTTTCTTGATGTATTAACTTAGCTAAGTGATTTGAATATTCCTTTGTCTTCCTTTTAAAACATTACGCTGACAAACGGATCATGTCTACAGAGTCAAAGTCACCTGTCACTTCTCATCTTACCAGGTTCATTTTTCAAGTCTCAAAAAATGGCTTCATGGCTTTATACTCCCACTTTGTAACACCTTACAGAATGGAGGACTTTTATTCTCACTTCCCATTATCTAAGCATGTAAGAAATCTAATGTAAACAATGTTCTCGTGAAAAATCAAACTGAAGCGGTACAAAGAATCCAGAATACACAGGAAGACAATACAAATGGGTAAAAAGAACATGGCATTAAAACAGGACAGGCCTGAGGGACCAGCAGTTAGCATGATGGCTATGTTGCTGGACTCCCACGTAGTTGACCATGGCTAGAGTCCTGGACCCAGTGGCTTAAACTCATGCTGGGCACATGTAGATGCGTGCCCAAGATCCCAAGAGGAGAATGGAGGAGAAGGGATTGCGACACGGCAATCCCCCCCAGGGAGGTGATTTCTCGCTTTCTGTCTCTCTGTCTTTCTGGTGAGCGCATGTGCCCTATAGCAAAAACCTCTCTTTAAAAAAAAAAAGAACAGGACAGGCCTGAAATGAAACCTCCATTCTGAGATGAACTGGCTCCTAGACTCAAATCAAACGCTTTAAGCACTATGAACTCTACTTATCTTGCTTGTTAAAAGGGTAAAAACATCATTTAACTCACAGATAATTGTACATAAAATGTTTGGTCCATGGCAAATCACTCAAAAAATGTTATTAGTTCCTTGCACCCTTTTGTATTTGTGAAAGAGGTGTTCTTTAAAGCCATACCGATTGAAGTTAATATCTGGGTAACTAGAATACTCCGATTTCATCTTAGCATTTCGTCGTGGAAATGTGCAGAAGAAAGCATTAGCTAAAAGACTGGCAATCTGTTCTTGCGACATTGTGATGGAATGATTCATCTTCTGTTTCAGGAGTGGTATCGGCTGATAGAGGAAACAAAAAATACAGACAAGAAGAGCAATAATTAGTTTAGCAATTTCGAAAGCAGAACCACCAAATTGCATTTGTTAAATTAAGGCAGGAATAATTTCTGGCCACTCTGAATCCTTATATCAGCAATACTGTTAAAGTCTAGGGCTGTTTATCAGGGATGATTGGAAAATGTACTTATTTGACAAACTGCAGATTTCTAATCAATAATGATAATGAAGAGAACAGAAAACATTATTTATTACTGAGAAATAACATTGCTTTTAGCAAGTAAATAAAAGCAGGTTACCCAAGTAATAAAAAATTGAAACAAAAGATGAAACAGAAAAACACAACACTAGAATTTAGCTATGATTGTTTATGCTAATTTTTTCTTACTTATATCGAAATTTGTTGTACAGAGCAATTTTTCTTAGTCTACAGGAAAATAATTCAATAAGTGTTTTCTTTCTTACTCTGAACCATACTTTACACTAACAATTTCCTTATGAAATGCAAATATAATTTTTTCAAAGTAATTCATGGAAAATATGCAAACCATCACACCAACTTACATATAAGTTGTATCAAGATATCTAACACTATAACTGCAAGCACAAGCAAATAGGCATTCTCTACATAATCAGACATTCCAAGTCAAGGAACATACAGGATATCTTTCCTTTAAATCTTTTATGTCTAAAATGTCTTGGGTTGGTATAACCTACCCAAATTCACTAACTTTTTATGGTCAGCATAATCCAAGTTTAATAGGCTTTATCCTATTTTAAATATCTAAACTATGTTTTTGTTTTTTGAGAGGTTTTTGCTATAGGGCGCATGCGCTCGCCAGACAGACAGACAGAAAGCGAGAAATCACCCCCCAGGGGGGATGGCCACGCCACAATCCCTTCTCCTCCATTCTCTTCTCGAGACCTTAGGCACACACGTACATGTGCCCGGCGTGAATTTAAGCCACCGGGTCCGGGACTCGAACTGCAATCGACTACATGGGAGTCCAGCAACATGGCCATTACGCTAACTGCTGGTACCTCTAAACTATGTTTTTAAAGATATGCTATTAAAACCAAAGACCAGTTGCCAGTTTAACTATTGTTAAATTTTAAAATGCTCCTAGTCAGCCCAGCCGGGGTCTGTTTGTTTTGTTACCCCATCCCTGCTCCCTTGGTGGCGTGATTGCCAAATCCCTGGCAGCCCATGCCCTAATCCCTCACAATATGGTTTTTACTTCTGTAGATTTAATAAAAATTTCACCAGTTTAAAAAAAAAAAAAAAAAGCTCCTACACAATGATTCAAAGATGCTTTTCCTTCCCGCTTGCAGTAAGAACTAGACAGCCAAGCTATTTTATAAACCAGCATGCTCAGAGAGACTGTCTCGATTGTTCTTCAGGAACCAAAACTCAAAATGAACTGGAGGAAAGGAAGGCAAGACAAATCAAAATGGTGATGATACAACAATTAACCTTTACTGTTTAACAGGAAACACACACATCGTTGCTAGGATAAGAGTCTCTTAGGGGGGAAAAAAGGTTAAACTCATAATTTAACTATTTCACTTGGAAAAATTCAAAAGTAAACAAATAAAAGGAAAAAAAACTATTTTCACCATGGTACCCAAAACTCTCCGTCCCTTCAGGCCTTAGCAATCACCATTTCTCAGAGAGAGGAAATAGAGAGCTCACATTGGCCTTAGTTGGCACCCTATTCGCTTATTCACAGCCCAGCAAGGAGTTTGGAAAAGATGACAGCCTGTCAATGGCTTAAAGCAAACTGCTACTTGTTTTAATGAGAAATGAGTTAACTACCATTTGCAAAGTTGCCTAGAAAAATTATTTTAAAAATTAATGGTGAATATTTTAGGCTTAATAAACTTAATACTTTAGGTTCAGTAAACTCTAAACATAACATTGCCTGGCTCCAAAATAAACAATATAATTTTAAATTTAAAAAAATATTTCTACATTCTTGGTGAGGAGAAAGGTCAAAAACCCCATGTTTGAGAAAAGAAAGAATGTAAATCATATTATCAAGCACTCAGCTAAGAAAAATAAGAGGCTAGTTATTATGAACCAATGTCCAAATCTATTTCCTTTAATTGTCTTTTTATAAATTAAAAATTTACCTTTTAGGAGCCACCAGGTGGTGTAGTGGCTGAAGGCTAGACTCCCATGTGGTTGACTCCAGCTTGAGTTCTGGACCAGGCAGCTTGAAAAATCAGGCCAGAGGCCAGACACAAGACTGCCTGTGGCTTCAGGCCCTAACGGCCAGAACCCGTGCCTCGTCTACTCCCCCAGCCCCCACTTACCTTTGGACTTCAGGTTTGTGTCTAGGGACTTTTAAGACAAACTTGCACCCCTCCCCACCCCATCCGGAGACCAGTTTAAGCCAGTGGCCTTGCCAGATACCAGCTGCAGGCCCTAATGGCCGGGACCCGAGGCTTATTCCCTCCCACTTGCCCCCACTCGCCTTTGAACTCTTAGGACTTCGGTGCTTTGGATAGCGCATGGCATACAATGCGCGATCTTTCCTTTGCTCCTGAGGAGAACCTCAGAAACTCAGTTGGACACACATCTATTCTTTAGAAACAGGGAGGACTCTGGGTCACCAAGGAGCAATGACAACAGTGCAGGGTATTGATGAGCAACAGGGAGGCAGAGTAGAAGAGAGATCGCCAATTTTCTACTCTTGAACACCTTTGAACTGTCAGAGATACCTTGAATAATTTAGGAAAGAACATATAAATCACCAGATGACTAGGAACAATTGCAGAGGCACACAAAATATGGGTAACCAACAAAATGACTCTCCCAAGGGAAAACATCAATTCCACAACACCCATAGACAACACAATGGAAGTCATGGACATGTCTGATAAGCAATTCAGAATTTTTGTAGTGAACAAACTAACTGAGATGCAAGAGAAAAGAAACAACAAGCTCCAGGAGAAGAGAAAGTCCTTTCACGATTTGAAAGAAGAAATAGACAACTTAAAAAAGAATCAAACGGAAGCGAAAAGGATAACTCCTCTTCATCCACACACAGTTCAATGGAAATCATGGAAATGTCTCATAAAGAATCCA